CGGTCACTGCGGTCGCCGGCTTCATGCCCGGTCTCTTAATTGAACGTTTAATGCGGATAAATGGCCAAGGCCGGAACAGATGTCACAAGATTTCTGGCCACTGATGTCATGTCATTTGGGGAATCCGTGCGCACTGTATCTTATGAGCTGACTGCCCTCTAGGTAGTGATATACAACACCTCATCGTACGCAGCAGAGCTGTGTAAGCGGCACGTGCATTTTGGACAGCGTGCAGTACCAGTTAGTAGACTTTTCTACAGGAAGTGTATAATGGACCTCTGTTTATTACTTACTGTCTTAGACTATCTATTAGTGGCAGCAACCAACAAAATCTTTTAGTCTACTCCCTCCATTGCAAAATACTTACTTGAACTGTAGTGTTAAGAATGTTTCATTTATGTTTAGACCTACTCGTAATTTTTAAAGAGCTCCTTCAATTTGGTAACCGCAGTCCTTTTTTTCACAACCAGTGTACCTGGTGGACACTAACTGTAGTGCGGCCATTTTGTTGCAACCAATAGACAGAGGCCGCCAAACCGAAATAACCAATTTTTCTTAGTTTAACTAGCCATGAACGGAACAATCTTAAGAGATATACTCGACCACTGAAATGTCGAAACGTGAGACCACTACCTTCTCCATCTTCTCGTGTAGAACTAACATCGCCATTGGCAAATGTAAACACGGTAGAACCACGCAACTTCCCCCATCCTGTTTAAACCAAAAGATACTTTGGAAACCCCCGCCAAATGTCTTCAAAACGTGCGGCCTTTCCGTTCCTCCTGAAACTGAAAATCTTTTTTAAGCGTGAAGCCGAACTATACAGACCACACACCCTCAGCTGAAGCCATAACGGCCGTATTATCTTCAGCTTTCAAAACACACTTTCGAAACTTTGGAAAGCAAAAGGATAGCCAGTAAAACAAAAACACTGCTGTCCTATATAGGGAGTCATGCTGCCTCTAAGTTACGACTCTTTCTTGTTTCCTAAACCAGTTTATTTCAAAGCAGTTTGAATGAAGGACGCAACCAACAAATTGTTTCGATCCTACTTGCAGGTAAGCTTCATTAAAAGAAGACAACAGCACCAACAGAGTTAATAAAGCTAATAAAGCTAGAAAAATTCATTCGACAACAATCAATACAACACTTGCATAACAATTTGGACAGAATCAGTGGAGCCACTCAGCTCATAGTAATCACAGGAAAATCCTATATACAAACTGAAACGAATTAATGAAATGTCAATGAAAATGTCAATATGAAGAAATCCAAGCATTAAAATAAAAAAAATTAACCTTTTCTACTTATAACTGAGCAAAGTTATGTTATGAATTAAGAACAAAGAGCACTTCCTACTTTTCTTCACAACTTCTATACAGCGAAATAAGAAATCCGCTGCGTATTTACAGCAAAAGGTAAAAAAAGTCTGTAAAGTAACGCAACCAGCATTACTCCTTACACCCGCTACACAAAGTTAAGTATCATTATACTCAAAATAGCACTGTTTTTGTAATATTTCAGCTGCGAAGCAAAATGGAAACTGGAGCAAGCTCCCATAAGCCTTAAATCAGCAAAAAGAGTAACTTATAGATGCAAACGTGGCAAGAATTGTAGTTCCCGCATTGCTATTTCAAGCAACAAACTCAGAGAAATTTAATAAAACCTGACTGAAGCTCCGCGAAGCCGATAGGCACATAGATACAGCCACTGAATACTAATGGTCTATTACTGGTGGCTATATATCTGGCCTCAGATTTCTAGAGTTTTAATTGGGCTTTATTGGATATCTGTATATTTTTTTTCTGTTACGGAAAACAAAACGTAGGAATCGGGGTAAAATTAATGCCCGCATTTTTAAGTTACTTCCTCCCCTTTGCATACAAACTATTGGAAATTTTTACCAATAACACAGTTCCTTGAGATTTCATATCGTTTCAATGATGAGGCACCGATGGTTGCATAACAGCTTAAAGCATAACGGTTATTAACTTTGCGTAGCCAGTTTGACGGATGATAACTGCGATGTTTTAAGGCAAGGAATTTCCTACCTTGCCTTTGACAAAAACGATATGTCTATATAATGTATACATGTAAATATATTTATATAAACTCACAGTACGGAAAGAATGTGCAAGTCAAACAACCGATCATTTATTAAACGTCGGCAAATTGCTAAGCGAATAACCAGGACGTCCACAAACTGTGCATGTTATGTAAACGACATGGTAAGCTCCAGGGACAAAAAACAAAAAACCGGCGAAAAGGAATATCCAGCCATGTAAATCTAAAAACACCGTGTAAATTACTTAAGCAGTTATACCGCCTGTTGCCAGACTAGCAATTGGAAAATAATTGTTGGAAAAAACTTAAAACTTGAAAGATCATACCAGTTTTTTGAGGCATTATAGTTATTATGAACCCAGCAATCAGCAGAACTAAAAAAAAGTTATTATTGAAATTTAATCTCTATAAAACTAAACTTTCTACAAAATTTCGAAGAATTTTTTAGCTTCAAAACTCTTATAATTACAGACGTAGACAGCAAAAAAGGCTGTGACCCAAATAATTGTTATCCGTATTCTTTTGAACTAAAGCACTTCCACAAACTGAAAACTCTCTAATAACAACAAGACACTGACCACTTCCAAGAATGGTAAGTATAACAGAACCAACGACTACTTTCATATTGTCCCGAAGCTTTGGATCCGAACAGTACTGCCTGAAATTATTTTAAATATTGAAAATATTAATTCAAAGATAACTATTTGAAGTCTACCAGTGGAGCCATCTGACAAAAGTCTAGGAGTGTCAGTTTTACTATACACTGTTGAATCAACAAGATTACAGTACCAACAAAGATTAAAAGAAATAGACCTAAATATACAAAACAAAAAACAAAATTTTTCCCAAAAAAAATATGCATTTTAAGTAAATTAAATGATGACCGTCTTTCAGGGATTAGTTTCATTTGACTTTTATCAAGTACTACAGATTTACCTTGGGGCCGGATTTGTTGTAATACTACTGGTAGATGGTGTATATGAGGGAGAAGACGCAGCCATCGAAGTCATGGGATGACAAGGAGAAGCTGTCGTTCGCAAGCTTTCGCCACCTTCTTCGTCTCCGCTTTCATAGCGTTCCCCAATCAACTAAAACTGTTACACAAAATTAATCTTTAAAATGCTGGGCAAGGCGCTGTGCAGTGGCAAATAAATTTAAGAAAAAGCTGTTTCATTACAATGAAGCAACTAAAGTAGCCCTCTATAGAAAAAAACGTCTTCTTGAACCGTGTAAGAAACGAAAAGCAGTTTTGACAGTACTGTCTTAAAGGCATCGGCAGAAAATTGACTCAGAGCGTTTGATAGGAGCAAAGCAAAACAAAATTTTGAAAAATTAGCAGCTTAAGTACATGTTGCAAGAGCTCATCATTTTCTTAAGCAAATAGTTAACTTCATCGACTTATCAAACGGAGAAACTGTACGACGGCAAAATCTCACTCAGAACTCAAAATAAATAAGCAAAGAAAATCACCTGTTGGCCCTGGGATGCATTACGATGATGGCCGGAGAACGCCATCGTTCTGTGAATCTGAATACCTAATGGCCACTTGAGCAATACCTTTCTGAAATGTCTATTGAAGTCTGTCAAAGTTTCTTTCAAGAAGCTTTATCTGATGCAACAATAACCGGGGTATTGCTTAACACTGCTGTCGGAGATACCATTATATGACGAATATAAACAACCGCAAATGCAGTTAATACGGCATTGAATCGCAAAAATTTTAAGTGAGTTTGAAGCACACACGTATTCTATCCAAAAACCTTTGTCAAAAACTGCAGTTTGTAACCTCAAATATATAACAAAGCTTAAATCTTAAGATAGAAATGTCGGAAGATACAAAAGAACAGGAAATGTGTGTGTGTGTGGGGGGGGGGGGAAAAAAATATGAACATCGTAAGAAATGATGCGTAAAACCAGCCTTCCTCTTTAACTTCCAAAAGAAATTAGAGCAAAAAAAAAAAAAAAAAAAAAAAAAAAAAAAAA